CCTAAAAATCTTACTACAAACTTTTAAGTAGAAAATTAGTATTGGGGACAGCTAGGTGGCTCAGTCAATTAAGCATCCAACTCTTGATTTCGGCTCAGGTCCTGCTCTCATGGTTCAAGAGATAAAGGTCCTCCTTGGGCTCTGTGGTGATAGCTCGGAGCCTGCTTGGGAGTCTCTCTGCCCCTCCCCCTCTTGTGCACATGCTCAGTCTCTCTCCCTCCCCAAATAAATGAATAATAAACTTAAAAAAAAAAGAAAGAACATGAGTATTAGAAGGCCATATTCATGAAATACAAAAATCAATTAATTATATAACAAAAATAAATGAAAACGTTTTATTAGTATAAAGAATGATACTCTTTTTTTTTTTTTTTTTCTTGATGACAACTCATTTTATAGATTGGTTGTAAGTTTATATTCATTGTCAAAGTCAAATAGCATTGTATTAATTTCTCCTGAGTTTTTTCTTTTTGTGACTCCATAAAACATTCATTCACATGGTATAAAATTCACAAGGTACAAAGAATATACAAGTGTAAACACTTCCTCTGACCCATCATGTAGTCAACCAGTTCCCCTCCCTAGAAGCAACTTGTGTTTCCTTTCCTTCTGGAGAGAGTGCAAACAGCATCTTTTTCTAAGATAGCTTTTTACCCTTTTAATTAGTGATAAGGTATAATAGTAGCTTATATTTCAGTCTTCACTGATTAGTGTTTTGTTTATTTTCTCACCCCTTCCCCCAGCAGTGTATGTTTTAAATACCTGAATAATATAGCTCATTTGTAAGAGTTGTTTCCTTTGAAATTTAAACATGAAAAAATATCTGTATAAGTTAATAAAGTTTTATGTATTAGTAGGTATCTACTATATGTATAATGGGTATGCTGAGTACTAAATAGAATATCAAAAAAGTTGCTCAATTGACTAGGAGAATAAAACTATTAAGAGTATGTTGTAAAATGAAAAGGATTTTCTGTAGTTCTGGATAGTTTGAGAAGTAGATCTGGGTCTGCTAGATTTTTCAGACTTTGTTATTTTTTTGATCATAAGGATTAAAAGCTCACTAAGAAATTATTAACGGGTAATAAAATATGAGTGTTCGAGCTCATTGTTTCTAAGATATATAACTCTCTTTTTGACCTTTTTATTTTGATTGTATAGAAAATACTGTCAGTTTAGGGGGAAAAATAAAATTGTCCGAATATGCTATTCACTCTGGCTGGAGAATGTACCGTGTTTTCACTTGTAGTAGGTAGCAAACTGAGGAGAAAATAAGATGTCTGGTGGTGCACCTTTTGAGGATAGGACCGTAAATTTTATAGTTTGTGAGGATCTAAGTTCTATTCACTCATTCTTGCTTATCTCCCACAAAAATCTCTCCAGAATTATTGAATATATTGAGGTATCTTTTGACAAAATAGTAATGAAGAAATGGTTTTTGTTAAAAGTAATAATTTGGTTATGATAGGCCTGGGTACCTTGTACCGGTCACATGACAACCAGCCTATGGACCATGTTAAGCACAGTGCTGAACTACCAAAGGGTTTTCCATCATACTTGGTTCAAAACCGTTGTACACAGCAAACTGAGTGGCTCTGCTCTGCCTTACCCTTTCTTTTCCTTTCTCTTTTGAGAGTTTGCTATAAGGTGAGTCTGCAGGAAGCAGAGTTGTATGTACCGTACGTAGGATCTTGTCCCTAAAGAGTCTTCAAAAGTTTGTGGTGGAAGACACAGACATACCGAAAGAGGCTCAGTACAGAGTCAAAGTGATCAAAGTGATAATTGCCATAAGTAGGGGTTTTAAAACGTGCAGATGTGAGTTTGGCAAAGGGCACATGTAAGGTACGTAGATGATGGGGCATTTCAACTGGACCTTGTGGAGTAAGTGAGATTTAAACTAAACACCCAGCATGTTCAGGGAAAATTTCAAACTTGCAGGGTATCAGAATTTAATAGTGTTATAACCACGTATGGTATTCCTGACCCTCTTCTGGCGATGACACGTGCCTCTCTGCACACAGCAGGAGAAGTTTGTGGCTTTGAAGTTAACATTAGTCTACTGAGGCAGAAATCCTCATTTGATGAATCAGCCTTGGAAGAAGTAGAGTTGGTTTTCTAGCTAAATACTTACTTTGCTGTGGCTTAGCAGTTTTGGGGTAATTTTGGTTCCTTTGAAAGGTGTTTGTTCTTGGAACACTAATGAATTGAGTGAGACTTTTCCTCCAGGATTTTTGGTGGTTTCAGTTTTCTGCTACTGTTTGTATTTCTGTTTTCAGTTTTCTATGGCAGTTTCTTAGCAGTTTGGCTAAAATGTGATCCACGTAGTTTTTATGTGAG